AACCTTCAGGGTCTGTATGTTGGGACTAAATACTGCTATTCGCTAACGTTTACCATGTATCTACCATGTGCTCAGTTTATATGAATTATCTCAACTTTAATCCTCATAACACCTACAAGAGGTGTTACTGCAACTATTACTGAATTGCACGAATGTACCTGTTGTTATCCCCCTTGTATATATGAGTACAGCTAGGTAGAAGGAGTTCAGCAGCCTGCCCCAGATGACAAAACTTCTAGCAGGTGAAATTCAAAGCCAGATAGCCTGAATGCAGAGCCTACACCCTTACCAACCATGCTGGTTGACTGCCATATCCTGCAGATGTTTTCAATTATACGGCTGCATCTAAAGATATCAGGCATGAAACGATGGTGTAATCTCTACTCCACTATCTAAATTCGAAAAAAAGGAACACATGTTAATCCCTGAATTGGTGTGTGGTTTTTGGTGGTTTTTGTTTTGTTTTTGTTTTTTTTTTTTGTGGCTGCCGGAACAAATTACCACAAACTTGGTGTCTTTAAAAAAACATTATTATCTCAATACTTCTGGAAGCTGGAGGAAGCAAGGAAGAGACTCTTCCCCCAGAACCTCCAGAGGGAGCATGGCCTTGGTGACACCTTGATTTCAGACCAGTGATACCAATTTTGGATTTGGAGCTTCCAGTGCCTACCAACTTTTTTTGGCTTATGGCTGTATCACCTCAATCTTCAGGGCCAGCATCTTCAAATCTCTCTCTGTTCCATCTTCACATCAGCTTCTCTGTCTGTGTCAAATCTCTACCTCTCTCTTAGCAAGGCTCTTGGGACTACATTCAGAACCCAGCCAGTAATTCAGGATGACTTCTGCATCTCAAGATCTTTTCCAAATAAGATAGCATTTATACTTTCCAGGGATTAGGACTTGATATCTTTGGGACCATGATTCAGCCTACTCATTTATCCATCTATAAATGTAATGCCACCTGTATGACAGAAATATGTGGCCAAAAGACAAAATATCAAGAGATTTTTTCAAGTAAATAGGTTTGAAGAATTTTCTTCAGGCTGGTGTTCTTCAGCAGTTTTTCCCATGCCTTCTACATCTGCATTTTTACCTCCTCTAACTAGAGATGAAGCACATTATAATAACATACTCATTTGGGTAGCCAAATCATCAGTGAGAGATAAAAAAAATAGTAATCACTTTTTCCATGACGCTATGTAAGTAGAGTAATACTTCTAGGTAAAATCTTGTTTCATAAAACAAGAGGTCTCTTACTGCCATTTTCAACAATACGGATGGACCCGAGGCCATTATTATATTTTATTAGTGAAATAAGTCAGACAGAGAAAGACAAATAGAGGATGATCTCACAGATAGAATCTAAAGAGCAAAACAACATGAAACAAACAAGCTCTTAGACACAGAATACAGATTGGTGGTTACCAGAGGTGGAGACTGGAGGGTTGGGCAAAACAGGTAAAAGGAGTCAAAAGGCACAAACTTACAGTTATAAAATAAGTAAGTCAGGGGGATGCAATATATAGTGCAGAGACTATGGTTAATAATACCGCACTACATAAGTGAAAGTTGATAAGATAATAGGTATTAAAAGTTCTCATGGCAAGAAAAAATTTTTTTACTAACTACATATGTTGATGGATATTAAGTAGACTCATTGTGGTGATCACTTCACAATATATAGAAATATTAAATCATTAGGCTGTACACCTAAAATTAATAATGTCAATGTTACCTCAATTTCTTTATTATCAAAAAAGGATATTCAAAAGATGAACAATAAAAATGTCAACATGTTTGGCTAACAAAAAAAAAAAGCCATTTAGTACATGAGTTCCTATTCTGTCTATGCCAGGTTACAGGGCCAGTGGCCTTGTCAGCATAATAAGTTTGGCATTTAGATATAGTGACCACATGGTGAAAGGAAAAAAAAAAACTCAGGATCTGATAGATATGGAGTTGGGATATATTAAGTCTGGACTCTGAGCATACCACATTTAACTGAAGAAGTAATCTAGGAAAAAAGATTACCTAATAACACAGGAGTATAACAAAGGAACTTAATTCTAATAATTCTAATCACAAGCTTGCAATTTAAATGATCTTGGGATTTAAATTCATGTGAATTGCATGGCATGGGAGTTCCAACACAGGCTACTGATATCTCTAGGACATATGACAGAAACAAAATCAGCCCATATGGTAGAAAATACATGCTCAGGATAACCACACACACACACACACACACACACACGCACACGCACACACACACACACACACACACAGAGTCTCATTGAAGATAAGCAAGCTAAACTAACAAAACACAATAGGAAACACAAAATCATGAAAAATAACTAGCAGATGAAATGGACAGTAGGATTAGACTCTAAGAACTGCAGAAAATAAAACAGTATGATAGAGATTGCATAAAATGAAAAACCTTAAAGTGATTAAAGCATGAAGAGTAAGCATTTTATGACTTCATATAAAAGAACAAACTTATTTTAGAAGGAATGAAAAGTAAGCCAATATTATTATTTTTTTTCATTTGATTGCTTTATTGTGGCTGGACTGTGAGCTTATTATTAAGCTGAAAAGTAGCCATAAGAAAGGGAAAGTCCTTAAAATATGAGAGAAAATAAGTGATAGAGCAATGCTCTGGAGAAAGCAATTTCATCAATGCAAAGTTTAGCCTTAAGCAAAAGAGTAAAAAGAATGCCTTAATTTTTAAATTAATATGTACAGGAGATGAGTATGCATGAAGTTGAGGATATTCAGCAATAATAAGAGAGTAAAGAAAGAGGAAGTGAGTCTAACATTAGGTGAAGTAGAAATGATTTAGATATGACATTGTAGAGATCTAAGCGGTTGTCAGCCCATAACCATATTTTATTCATGAAAAAAATATATTATACAAAGCTAAATTATACATAGGCCATAATGCCCTTAAGGAGATCAGTCCACCAGAAAAAGTCAGACTTGTTCACAGATAACCAAGATAGCTAAAATGCCATCCATCCCTCCTTTCTCAATATATACATATTATTTTGTTCTTTTCTCTTTCATTTTATGATATCACATAGCATTTTGTGTTCCTCTTTCTTCCCAATTCTCTAAAGGGACACACCAAAGTGGAAATGTTTACCATAGTGCCAACACTAAATTCAGGCTCCTTTCCACGGTTTTACGCTGTGATCTCTATAGAAGCTCATCCAGAGCTCTGGAATGATTTGCACTAAATGCATGAAGGAGATGAAGAGTAAGAGAAGTCATTAAAATTATACTGTCTCTTCTGCTCCCAGACCCAAACAGATTTCACTTTTAGGAAAAGCATGACCCACATATCCTAATGTGAAACTGACTTTTCTCACACAGTCAAAATATTTTAAAGATAGACAAAATCAATCTCATTGACCATTTCTCAAAATCCTGTCCTTGAATATTAAAAGATATGTTTCAGGAAAGTAGAAGCTTCAAATATATATTCTTAAATTTCATTTAAGATCACAGATGCTGATTAAAGTTTTCATCTTTTAGATATATTTGAAAAAATATTGCACTAAACAAGAAAAGGCCATTAACATTCATTTTAAATGCAATTTATACTAGCTTTTGGTTTTCCAGCAATAAATGTAGAGATAAATAAAATCATTACCATGTATTTTTTAAGACAGCAATGTTTATCTACACATGTTGCTAAAGAAGGCAAATTTATCATATATGTCTTTTATTTTAATTTCTCAGGATTAAAATCATTTGCACCAACTCCAAAGAAATTGTAATATATCTAAAGATAATTACAACTTTCTTTTCTATATTTAATTACGTTTTCTTCTAAAGAATAAGCATCATTTATCAATTAACTTCATTTTATGGTTGGCATATTACATAGAACCACTGAAGCAGAATAAAATGTAAAAAAAGGGAGAAATAATACTGAGAGCCTGCTGTCCTCAGACATGCCAGGTCATTTACTCCTTTTTACTTTAAAAATCTCTCTATTCATTAGTATTCTTCTTTTTAAGCACTGTAGAAAATACAGACTGTATGTCTAATACACTATTTCTAGACTAAGCAGTAACAAAGTGTATAAATTCACGTGGCTACTCAGAGTGACAACTTGAATTTCCTTAATATATAGTTACTTTCTCTGAAATTAAACAATTAATAAGCCAGCAGCGATGTGAATCATAAATTATTCATACTTAGTCTACCAATGAACATTAATCAATTATAAAGAGACACAGAAATTAAGACCAAGAGAAAGAGTCAACCATAGCCTTTTAATAGTGAGACTCTGTTAACCCAGTCTCTTTAAACATATTTGATTTGTATAATAACATCAATATGCACAGCTATGCTTGCTGCTCAAGTTTCTAACAAAATAACCAATTTATGAGTATACATATGCTGTCAACCAGTAACAAGAAATACTCATCACAATTCTGTGGTCTTTGACTAAAAGGGCTTATTAGAGTTCTTTCAAATTATTGTACCTCATCAAATATTTAGTATTAACTCTCCTGGCTTCCCAAAGAATTTGAAGCAAACTGAGAAACATCTTTAGAATTCTTTCATAGTTTGAATACCAATATCTTTATACCAATACATATAAAATGATAACAATCACAAAAGCAAAACGTCCACCAGGACAATGGCCCCAGTCAGTGAGTGGTGAAGCATTACATCCTTAACAGACACAAGTTCAGCTGCAAACTTATGACTTATAATTACCTAATGAGGAGTTCCAACAGGCTTATTCCCAATGCATATGATTTCCAGATTATGCAAGTACCCATTCTGATTAATTTATTTAAAATCAGTCAAGGAAAGAGCTATAGTTCTCAGTGTTCATTTTTACCAAGAGTCAAGCAATAAAATAATGACAGTATATAGATGGCGAATAGGGATTTAAGTGGAGAAATGGAATTAATAAGAATAAAAAATTGGAATAGTCATTTAGTTATAACTAGCAATCAAATGTTAATGCCAAATATTACCTGGAAATAGGCTTCAAATTATTCTTTGCTTGATGTTCTGTAGACATGATGTGTTTGCTTCTCACCCAAAACAGGAGAGGACCATTGACAGGTATCACTGGATGAATTATTATTCACAGTTCTTTGGAAGCTAGAAGAAATAGAGAAGCTAGGTTTACAATATGGGAAATTAAGAACATTTGAGTCTTTAGTCTTTTAAAAATTTTCTGTGTCCTCAAGCATTCATTAAAGACAGGGCAAATGTTTTCCTGATTTGATGTGATGGTCAGTGCAGGGTGGAGGGGAGCAGAATCAGGTTAGCATTACCAGTACTTTGAAAAGGTCATTGCTAGTAGTTATCATTCAGCAAATGTAACATTGCAAAATCCTGAAAACTCCCATGCTCAGCTTGGAAAAGCATTAACTACCTGTTAGTCCTTTCTTTCAAAATCAATCAACAGATATATAAAGTCCTTAATAAACACCAACACTATGTTAAGTGTTGTGAGATATATATCTATACATCTATATATATCTATATAACTACACATGTAAATTTAAATATATATTTAATATATATCTATATATATATCTCAGATGCAATTGCTAAAATGTAAATTAATTTATAATTTATACAAAATAAAAACACTCTACAAAAAGATAAGTTACATGCAATAAGATGATATAGATAAAAGGACTACTAAAGTACAGACAAGGTAGATTTCTTCAATGACTGCCAGCATGGTTACTTTGTTAGAAATGCAGATTCTCAGACACCACACCAGACCTAGAGAATCAGAATCTGCATTTTAGCAGATGCCCAGATCTTGTGATTTATATGCACAATCAAATTTGGAAAGCCCATCTTAGATGTTTTCATAAGCAAAATGGTACTTAAATCAATTGTTAGACTAATGAGTTGTCCAAGAAAGATGAAGAGAAACAGTCCAGGAAATTTCAGGCAAGTGGTTAGAAGAGAACAAACGCAGAGCATGAGAGGATCTGAGACATGTTCCAGGAAGACTGTAGCCTGCCAGTTTTGCTAGGGCAAAAGATTTTATTCAGAGAGTGCCAAAAGATAAGTCTTAAAATGTAGAATGGGTCCTTGTAAGAGATGATCCAAAAGTTAGATTGAGAGAAATACTTAGTATTTTTAGAGTTCAGTGCTTTTGGAATAAAAGTGATTTCACACTGTTCAGATTCCGCCCTTCAGAAATGAAGAATTCACTCTGTTAGCTGCCTCGAGTATTGGCTGCTGGTGCCTTAAAGTTGAGACTTCCCTTGAGAATTGCCCTCAGCCAAAGGGGGTTGCTTCACCCAAGTTTACACCCTCTTCCTGGAGGCAGGTTACATCCAGTACTGGCTGATGTAGGGGAACAAAACCTTGGCTTCATGGCTTCAATTGGGGCCACATCATTGAAAAACTGTCTCAAAGTCAGAGTTCCCTGTGGAGTGAGATGAGTTATCTCGTACAAATGCATCTCATTATGGTAACTCTCTCTCTGCTCACTCCTGCTTTTCTCATTCTCTCACAGATGTTGTTCCCGAGAGAACTTCGTAATAAATCTCCCACACACAATTCTCCATATCAAAAAAAAAAGCCAAAAAACAAAAAACTGACCCCTTTCCTCAAAAATGTATTTCACTAAAATAAAATTATTAGTTCTAAAAAAATTTATTCTGATATTATTCTTTGGTTACTTGTTTAATATGCTGTAACAATCCATCTAAAATGTATATTTCTCAATTTCTAAAAAGGCAGGAAATGTGCTGTATCCCTTTAAAAAATAATTTCACTAAGTTAGGGGTGCCTGGATGGCTCAGTCGATTAAGCATCGGACTTTGGCTTAGGTCATGATCTCACAGTTCATGAGTTCAAGCCCCGCATCAGGCTCTCTGCTGTCAGCATGGAGCCGGCTTCAGATTCTCAGTCTCCCTCTTTCTCTGCCACTACCTCGCTTGCAATCTCTCTCTTAAAAAATAAATAAAAATTTAAAAATCTTAAATAAATAAGTATATAATTTCACTAAGATAAATACAGATGTGGGTATAGAATAAATATGTAATTCTCATTTAATGAATTTTAAAAAACATTCCTTTTGCTTCCTTTTATGTTAATATTTCTGTGATATGTCTAAGATAAGCAAATGAATATTTTTAGAAAAGCATTTCTGAACTAAGGACCATCTCAGCTGTTTTGTGTATCCCTGTTACAGCACTTGGAACGTAATAGACGCTAAGTAAATATTGGTTAATTTAATGAAAAAATGAGTACATTTGTACAGTGCATTGCAGTCTACCAAAGTTTTTATTTAACCTTCCTGAAAACTTCAGGTAATAGCCTCAGTTATAACAGGAAGATAAACATATACAGAAACATCTAAGTTTTAAAAAACACAGAGTCTCAGGTTCACCACAGACTTTCTGAGTTAGAGTCTCGATAGGTTTTCATTACTTCTCAAACTTAGGTGTGTATTAATTCCTAACAAGTTCCTAAGTGATGCTAATGGTCAGTGTCTCACACAACTAGGTCAATTTCACAAGTTAGACCAGTAATGCTATATTGTTATAGAGCTCCTCAGGAGATTTTGAGCTGTGGTTACTAAGATTTTTTTTTTTTCCAAGTTGTGTTCAGGCTCTTCTCCCAGAGATTCTGTTTTCATTGGTCCAGGATAGAATCTGGGTACTGACATTTTCTCCTGATATGCAGTCAAGGTTGAGAACCACACTGTAGCTTTTTCTCAAGAATCCTTATTGAGGATTTGGTAGAAGCTGGACTATGCCTGGGTCTCAACACAATGTGCAGGCCTTTTATGAACCCCATGCTATGTCCCTGAACACGTCTGAATTTTCCCATTCACTATCCAAGTTAGATTTGTCGATTCTGAAATATATTTTATATAGCAAGGTGGAATAGAGACCCAAGATAACAACCATTACATAAGTTTCTAAAATTTATGAAGTAAAGGACAGATACATGATTAGAAAATGAAAATGGGTAAACATGACTTAATTATTCTCAGGATTCATTAATAAACTCTTTGAATCTTTAGCAAACCTAAGGGTTCCAGAGAGTAGTCCTATACATTCTCTGAACAATCATTTCATAATCTCAGGATACTATTTGGATGGAGAATACATAATGCCTCTACACTCCCCAATTCCCTCGCAAAATTCTTTACCACAGAAGTATTAGTAAAATAATTTCCTTTTGCTTACATTTTCACCTTTTTTGTAGGCAATCCACAAATATTTCTCTAAAAAATTATAGTCACCCATCATGGCGACTGAGAAATATAAGCATAGTTAGCCACATGTGCATGTCATCAGTTTTTCAGCGTGATATAGCAGGCGGTAAAGCGCAAATATTTCAGCTGAGGTCTCAGCCACTAGATGCCGCTGATGTGTCTGGAGGCCTCGGAAGTGAATTCTACAGAAATATAAAGGCTTACATCTTGGAAAATAAAATGCTGTTACTATGGTGACCAGCTGAGATTATGGATAATGAGAGTACCATGTTTTCCACTCTCTAAGGAGCTATTGTTCTCCGCCTATTGCTCTATGCTGAACATTACTGACCTTCAAAATCACTGGTACTTCCCTTTCTTTAAAAAAAGGGTATTTCATTCAGTACTTTTGCGTGACTGAGAAACTATACACATCATTTATTCGCGCGCACACACACACATATGGAAAGCAACCATTATTCAATGCATTTATTTTTCTTATTTACATACAGAGGAGAGATCAATGGTCTTAACAGTACATGACGTCATAGTTTCTACAACTTATGTGTTACCAAATTCTTTAAAATTGTCTATCTACAAAGATAAGAGGAATCGAAGAAACTACCTCAATATTTATCATCTGTGTGACAGCGTCACATATCTAGCTAAAGATAATTGTAGGCAAGAACGTGTTTTCAATAGAACAAGTATATATGAAATTTCCAGTTTAGTTAGAGGAAATCTTGCAACACAGTTATTTTTCTTCTAAAGCTAGGAATGGACAGGAAAATAGAGTCATGGGGAAAAGAATCTTTTATATAAATGATTTTGGAACAGGTATTAAAAGATATCAAAAGGATAAATGGCATTTATTATTTACTAACTAGTTGTTGGTTATTGATGAGTTTTTAATACTACTCTCTAACAGGAAATCTGTGAAATTAAGATTCATGTCCATGTATTTTTAGAAAAATAAATGTAAAGGAAATGTTCAATGGGTATTGGAATTGTCTATAAGAATACCATACAAAAAAATTTTCCCCAAAATAATTACTTGAACCTGCATAGCCCAAGGAAATCAAAATTAATTAATACATCTCAAAATTCTAGCAAGGAAGTATTAACGACCATATTTTTCATGTCAAAAGATTTTACATAATAACTAATGAGTATGAAAAGTAATAAATATGTCATTTTTCATAATATATGATGCATTCTCATTATCCCAGAAGACTCCACCCAATCACTCCTTTCAAAAACTATTGCCAAGCTGCTTAAATCTACAGTGAATTTGATATGCCATCTCCTTAGGTCTAGTCTCCAATGGCATTAAATGATTCATAGCAATATAACTTGGTATGTAGTTCTTAACAGTAGCTGCACCTTTTAAAAACAAATAAAAGATGGAATTGGCAAGAAATATCTAGAAATAAATGTCAAGGGACATTGTTAGAATACTAACCTGGTATTTGGGTCATAGTTTCCCAAAATACAGGAAATTCTGAAAGCACAAGTTTGTGGCCACCCATATGCAGCTGTCCCTTCCATGAAAAGGTATTAAAGATATTCAAGGCACTAAAAGCAGTGGCATGCTATACTCCACAATGTATTTTACTCTCTGTTAGTTTCCTAGGGCTTCCATAATGAAGCACCATAAACTAGTTGCCTTAAAACAACAGACATGTATTGTCTCCTAGTTCTGGAAGCTAGAAGTCCAAGATCAAGGTGTCAGCAAAGCCCTGCTCTCTCTGAAACCTGCAAGGGAAACTTAACTTGCCACATGCTAGCTTTTGGTGGTTTGCCAGCAATCTTTGGCATTCCTTGGCTTTCAGCTGCAGTCTCTGTCTTTATCGTCGTATGACATTCTCCTTGTGTGTCTCTGCCTTCACGTTGCCTTGTTCTTATAAGGACACCAGTCATACTG